TAATATTCAGAATGCATTTCTACAGTATCTTCTTTTTAGTATAGTATGTTACTTGACAATGTCATAACTTATCGTTTGAAGGTTCTAGGCTCAATTGGGCATCCTATTAAACATACAGAAATAAAGGTTGTAGATGCAGAAACAGACAAAGTTCTTCCTCATGGTTTAAAGGGCATTGTTAAAGTTAGTGGTCCACAAGTGATGAAGGGTTACTACAAGGTAACATTTGAAAGCTCTTCTTGTCACAGAACTTCAGTATTTATGTAACTAGATCTTTTAGATCCATGAACGTAATGTAGCAACAAGTCCTTGATATTTTTCATTATTATTGTTTTTATTTAAATTTCTAATTTAGACTTGGCTAGCCTACCTTTCTTTTTCAATGCTTTGTAACCTTTGTGAATGGCTTCTGGTGGCAAGCTGCAATATTTGTATCAAGTGTATGAATCTTGTAATCTCTCTACCATATTATGAATCTTGTTTTAATTAGTCGCACAGATATGAAAGATTGTGTCATTCATATTCATTCAATTATCCTTTGTCAAAGGCTTTAATCAAATGAGCTTAAGCTCTTGGATGAGGTGGTTTGAATTGGTATCTGATCCGGCACAGGTTCTGGGCTCAAGTCTCACTACCACCCATTTGTGAAAATTATGCACGTGTTACAATATAGAAAAAGCCCTTTTTGCATGTAAGGGTCATGTGAAAGACATTTAAATGAATAAATTTGTCCAGCTCTTTAATAGTTTAAGCTCTTAGATGAGATGGTTCAACAAATTCTAGGACAAGTTGAAGACGTAAAAATTTTTTGAACTTGTGACGCTATAGTTTGGTTTTCATGCGAAAATCAACATTTCTCTGATCTGCTGTTAAATGGATGATGTGAATTGGAGGCATGGACTTTACATTTCACTGTCATTGGATTTAATTTCCATAGTACTGCTAAAAGATTGCTTACTTTTTGAAGTTGTAACATGGTAGCTAGGTTTTCATGCCCAAAACTAACCTTTCTCTGATCTGCTGTTAAATGGAAGATGTGAAGTGTTTAACATTTCGCTATCATGGGATATATTTTTCCATATCACTACCAAGTAATCCGTGTTTTTGTATCAGTTTGATTTGCAAATATTTATGTTTCTTTGTTTCCTAGTCCGTAGATTTATTGAATTTTTATTTGTTCCACCACTTCATGTGTAATATCTCTCTCACACACTATTGAATCACTTGATCCAAAAGCTTAAGCCGTTAGATAAGGCAACATTTATATCATTTAAGTGACGTCATCAACACACAAAATTCATACATGCACGTATGCGTAGACATGTGATTTTATATTTTGAATGTCTTCATTAGAAGCTTCAAATTAAAAGCTGCATTAATAATTTAATATTATGTCAATGCTCATAGAATAGTTTCCACAAGACTTAGACTAAGTATCCACACTTCTTTCTTGGCTTCAAACCCCTGCAGAATAATTGGATAACGTTTATATTCTACTGATTTCACCATTGATGTCCATCTTCTCTACTTCTTAAAATAATAATAGTGTCCTTCTAGATTAGTATTTGCAGTTGTTTCGGTCTTTGATAAACTTAATAACTTATATTTACTCTATGTAGCTGATATTTACAATTTATATTCTCGCCTTCCACCATGTAACCTGAAAAATAGATATTGCTCAAAATACCATGCGCACCTGCTGTATGACTTACCTGAAATAACAGTAACAACATTGACTTGTAACATATGCGCCTGATAGTTGCCTTCAATGCGGTCCTCAATTTTATTTCAATGTATAAATTTTAGATATTCTTGTTAGTCCCGAGTAACTCAATGACTTGAATCATATCATGTAATATGCTCTTTACCAAATAGTTGTAGGTCTTCAAAATGATCTATATAGTGTTGAGCATTCAATACATATGTATGAGGGCTACCAGTGATAATAAAAATAGGTTCAGCAGCTTCTATATCAAATTTATTTACCTTTTCTTTTGAAAATGATTAACTAGAATCCATTCGCAACAAAACAAGTATTAGATGATAATGGTTGGCTGAATACGGGTGATATTGGCTGGATTTGTCCTCGTCATTCTGTTGGACGAAGTCGTGCTGCTGCAGGTGTTATTGTTCTTGAAGGACGTGCAAAGGACACTATAGTCCTTTCAACAGGTAAATTAAATTGTTTATTATAGTACACATGTTTTTCTATCTGTTGGTAAAGGACTAATATGAATTAGGTAAAACGAAAAAATGCCTCTTTGGCATAGTTCAATAAGTCTAAATTCGCTAGAATGTGTTCTCAGAAAGAACAGAGTTGATGAATCTTCTATAACATGAGTTGGAAATTACGAAAGACTCCGTAACTCTCTGATTTTCATATAGTATCTAAACTTATTTATTACTTCCATCAAAATTATTTCAAGTAGCAAACTAAACAATTCCAGAAAATTTTAAAATTAATATGTTCATATTTATTTGGTATGACATAATTAGTTAATGGATCCATAGTTGTATGTTGCAGCCATTTGTTTGATTGGATAAATTTTTTAAGGCATCAATGTAGTAATAATCTCCTATATTTCCCAGAGACTTTACGCATTTCATTAAATGTGAACATCATGTCACTAACTGTTCAATGTGGTGAAATAGGTGAAAATGTTGAGCCAGCAGAGATAGAAGAAGCTGCCCTCAGAAGTAGTCTTATTCAGCAGATTGTAGTTATTGGCCAGGTGAAATTTTAATTTGTTTCAATTAGGCATGCCTACGTCTGTTTCCTGACAATACCTCACCAATTGCCATATATGTGATAAAGTACATGATACTTCCAAAACTTGTGTTACATTGCATCAAATTTGTAGGATCAACGACGTCTTGCGGCTATAATTGTCCCAAACAAGGAAGAGATTCTGTCAGAAGCTAAAAGGTTGTCTAAAGTGGAATCTGATGCCTCTGAAGTTAGGAAGGAAATATTGACTAGCCTGTTGCATGAAGAGTTAAGAAAATGGTAAGATGCATATCTAAGAAATTCATAGCATTACAAAATCTCGAGACATTAGCTTCAGTGAAGCAATATAAAGGTCTTTACTTTAGCAAACTTATACAGCAATATTCCTTGATATTTGGCTTAAGGAAATGACGTCCTTTCGCCTTGGACAACTGTCTAAAACATTAAGTTGATAACATTCACAACATGAAGTGCAAAGCTTTTAGCTGCTTACATAAGATTATACATGTAGATTTTATGCATAGAAAACTTTAATCTTGTTGTCCTTCACTTGAACTTGATGTATTTTGTTTTGCTTTACTCACTTTGCTTGAAGAACGATGATCATTACATGGACATTTTCATGAAAATGTCAAACATAAATTTAATTGCACTAAAAAGAAAGTTGCAACAAGCAATCAAGGGTCACACGTATGGTGTAATTAAGCAAAAGTGTCAAACAATTTGAAGATTCTAAATCCTGTCTGTTGAAGCTTAACAGAACTGATCTCTTGAAGTTTTGAATCCTCTACACGAAAAATCGAAAATTAGAATTTTAGGATAGAACATAATTTCAACTGACCTAATATCTCACTTTTTTGTTTCTCTTTGCCTTTTCTTCCAATGAAGGACTTCAGAGTGCTCATTTCAAGTTGGACCGATTCTCGTGGTTAACGAGCCCTTCATGGTAAATTTCTGTTGCAAGAGCGTGAATGTTTACATTTCTCTGAATCTATTTTAAGAATAGTATCTTCTTAACAACTGCGGTGTCAAATTGCAGATTGATAGTGGCTTAATGACTCCAACCATGAAAATCAGAAGAGACAAGGTTGTATCTCAATACAAAGAGGAGATAGACAATTTATATAAGTGAAGCCTAATATGGTCTCATTGAACTAGTAAATGTGCAGATATGGCTGGTCAATCGCTTACACTGTCTGTGCAATCTTACAATACTATTCTTTTTTCTTCTTGCTAAATTCCCAGTTGCAATATTCACTATTGTAATAAAATAGATAGTGTTGGGCTATAAACATATGATTATATACCACATTGTTCGAATGTAATCACATCAATCTACTTCTTGGAAGAGATGATGCTTGTAGGAAGCTATCATTCTTCACAAAGGCAATCAGTAGTAGCAGCTAGATTGTGATGTGGACTGTGGCGACATGGGGGCAAAGAAAGGAGAGGGAAGGGGTCTCTCTTCTTTTGGCACGAAAGCCCCCATGGCTGACTCGCATGTTAGGCTATTTGATAATTGTGTAGTACTTGTGCCTAAATTGTGAGCGTCCTTAAATACTATCAACATAGGACGCATTGTTGAAAAAGCTATAGCTCGACATCACTCTCCCGTAGATAATAGAATACGTGACTTCCAACTCTAAAGCCAATTGAGATGGGGAGATACAATTAAATTTTTCAAAAGTTACGGCGAATAGGAGAGGTTTAATAGTACATTTTAACATTCAAGTTCAATAATCCACCTTACGAAATAGGTTCCAACACGATCAATGACGTTTTGCATAACTACTTTTCCAATAGTTTTCAATGTTTTAATATTTTATGACTATGTAGGCATGGCCAATCTCATTTTGTGTCATATGTACATCTCTCATTGACACAAATAGAACCAATTGGAGCCCCAAAATGATTAACCATATTTTCGTAGTTCCACATTTCCAAGAATTTTTATTGGTGTCAGGATGAGTGTTACTCTAACTGATATAACTACTACTATAATTTATTTAAGCATAGACAACAACTTCACAAAGTGTCACATACTGCGCCACGGGAGAAAAATTATTCCGCTGCGAGACTAGAAGAAACAATGTGACATCCCTACATCCGTCGAGAATATATACCTGGGGTCTACTCTGAGATCCAAAAATAGAAATTGTAAACTAGACAAAAGTAAAAACTGGACATTTGTGGACAACAAATGATGATTTCTCTATGCAATGGCAAGGGACAGATGAGAATTTATCTTGAGTTAGTACACGAATGGTCATGAATGCCTCACCCTGGCCTTCTCCACCAACTTCAACAATGCGCCAAGCGCCATCTCCCGACTCAAGGCAAGAAACTCCATGCCCACATAATCAAATCCGGCCTAGACCACAGTGGCCTCCTTTATCCTAACACCCTCATTGATGTGTATGGCAAATGTGGCTATCCAAATGACGCCCTCCAACTGTTCGACGAAATGCCCGAACGCGACTTGGCCTCATGGGCATCAATTTTCACTGCCCACAACCAAGCCAACCTTTTTCAAAACACCCTATCTTTGTTCTCCACCATGTTTCTACTTGATGGCTTCCAACCGGACCATTTTATCTTTGCGAGTCTCGTTAAGGCTTGTGCTAATATGACTGCCTTGAAACTAGGCCAGCAAGTGCATGCCCAATTTCTGGTATCGCCGTTTTTGCACGATGACGTTGTTAAGTCGTCCCTGGTTTATCTTTATGCAAAATGTGGACTGCCTGATACTGCACATAATGTTTTTAATTCCATTTTGTCAAAAAATGTTATTTCTTGGACTAGCTTGATATATGGCTATGCGCGGGCAGAGAGGAAGAGTGAGGCTATTGAGCTCTTACGTGGAATGCCGAGGAAAAATCTGTACTCTTGGACTGCTTTGATATCGGGGTTTGTGCAGAGTGGGCTTTTGGTTGATGCGATTAGGCTTTTCATCGAGATGAGAAGAGAAGGAGTTTATATCGAGGACCCTTTTATTCTTGCGAGTATGATTGGTGCTTCAGCTAGCTTAGCTGTCTTGGATCTTGGGAAGCAGGTTCACAGAGTAGTTATAGGTTTTGGTTATGAGTCTAGCTTGTTTATTAGTAATGCATTGATTGATATGTATGCTAAGTGTAGTGATGTATTAGCTTCAGAGAAGATTTTTAGTCTCATGTCGAAGAGAGATGTTGTTTCTTGGACCTCTATAATAGTTGGAATGGCACAGCATGGGCAAGCTGATGATGCATTGTCATTGTACGATGAGATGACTTCTGTTGGTTTGAAGCCAAATGAAGTGACGTTTGTTGGGCTAATTTATGCCTGTAGTCATGTCGGCTTAGTTAACAAAGGTCGCCAACTTTTCAAATCTATGGTCGATGATTATGTATTAAAACCGTCTCTGCAACATTATACTTGCTTATTGGATCTTTATAGTAGATCAGGACACCTTGAAGAGGCTGAGAGCCTCCTTAACTCAATGCCGTTCAAGCCTGACGAAGCTGCATGGGCTGCTCTGTTGAGCGCTTCTCGGCGAGTTGGGAAAAGTGAAATGGGAGTTAGAATCGCAAATCATCTGCTGGAACTCGGACCAGAAGATCCATCATCGTGTATATTGCTATCTAATACTTATGCTAGTGCTGGTATGTGGGAAAATGTATCGAAAGTCAGAAAATTTATGCTTGCCATGGAAGGGAGAAAGGAACCCGGTTACAGTTGTGTCAACTTGTCAAAGGAGAACCAAGTTTTCTATGCTGGGGAGACGACACATCCTATGAAGGATGAAATTTTTGACCTTCTTAAGGAGTTGGATGCTGAGATGAGGAGAAGAGGTTATGTACCTGACACTAGTTCAGTTTTGCATGACATGGGTCAGCAAGAGAAGGAAAGACAGCTCTTTTGGCATAGCGAGAGACTGGCTCTCGCTTACGGTTTGCTAAATTCTGTTCCTGGAACAACCATACGGATAGTTAAAAACCTGCGTGTTTGTGGAGACTGTCATGTAGTTCTGAAGTTCATATGTAGCATCGTGAACAGAGAAATAATTGTTAGAGATGCCAATAGATTCCATCATTTTAAAGGGGGTGTTTGCTCTTGTCGCGACTTCTGGTAATTATGTGATTTGGAGGAGAACATTAGGTGTTCGTTAAACATACTTTCCCTTGTTTGAACGTGCGTTGAAACATCATACATGTACGCTTAGAAGTTTTGAGGTACTGCATCAAAATTAGTTTCAATTTGAGTCCTTCAATTGTCACATACATTAAATTTTGAGTGTTTATAGCGCATCACAATTTATAAAGATTACATTCTAGCCATGCACAGTATCCTCGTAGCTTTAGTATAAGCAATCAAGTAGTGTGGGTTAATTACCCCATTAGTCACTGAACTTTATCCAAAGTTTCCACCAGATCACTGAACTTTAAAAACTACTTGATTAGTCACTGAACTTTCAAAAAATCACCTCATTGGTCACTGAACTTTAACAATCACCCCATT